TGAGCCGAAGGCAGACGCTTAACAACTGAGCCACCCAGGCGCCCCTACAACATTTTTAATGCCGTAGATCTCCTTACAGTCACTGACTTAATAGAAAATCTCGAATACTACCTTAACAACTTTATAATTATGAAGATGCCTACTTACTTTTTTAGACTTTCTTTTGGCACAGGAGGGGCAATTAGTGAAAGTATATTCTCTTCCTTTAAGAATTCTAAATTAGAAGCAATAGCAGTTTTTATAAAAACAGCTCGTAGTAAAAACCTCTGGAGTGTTAAATCAGCAAGTTTTTGGAGTGAAGCTATTTTGAATTACTAACACAATAAAAAGAAATTTTCTTGATGGGATTAGATGGAGGCAGTAGATATTGTGTAAATTTTATCATAGATATAAACATCACCTGTTTTTTAGAAAAAATATTAAAGATAACGTAATATGCCAAAATGACTAGGCGTGTAGTTTTGCTTTTATAAAATGCCTTCAAATTTTTTTTAAAGATTTTATTTATTTATTTGAGAGAGAGAGCACATGAGAGGGGGAAGGGTCAGAGGGAGAAGCAGACCCCCCGCTGAGCAGGGAGCCCAATGCGGGACTCGATCCCAGGACTCCAAGATCATGACCTGAGCCGAAGGCAGTCGCTTAACCAACTGAGCCACCCAGGCACCCAAAATGCCTTCAAATTTAAGTGTAATTCCCAAGTATCAATAAAGTCCAATCTCTGAATTATCTATTACTTGCACTATAGATACCAAGAAACCATTTTCACTGCCTAGAATAGTGACCCTTGTTATGCCTTAAAAGTGCATTTGTGAAATGTTGGTTTTGATGTATACCTCATAATTTAGAATTTAATTAGGTTACCACTTTTAATAACACCTAAATACAATATACTGACCCAATATAGAAGGTTGGGTCAATGTTAGAAGAGAAGATTTACAGTTTACCTTCCCAGGCTTGTTATTAACACTTCACATTTATGCTCTTAGCTTTGATTTGTATGCCTCACAGATGAATTCAAATTTAATTGAATTCCACTACAGCTTGTTAATTAGGTAGTTTTCCCAAATCTGAGAACATCAATGCTAATCTAGTTGTGATGTTCTGAGGCTTCACAGCTTAAATCCATTATAACACTATGAAATCCATAGCTCAGGATTGTGGAGAAATGCTTCAGAGAAGAGCTTTTTGTTGCTATAACAATCCAATTATGGAACCATTTCAGAAACTGTTGGAAGGTGGGTTATTCTGTAGTAACCATGCTTCAATTGCCATGCAGTATGTCCAGAAACAATCCTTTTCAACTTCTGAACATTTAGTTTGGAACACTTGTTTGATGAATATTCAGTTAAACACTTGGATAGAAGTTCTTGCCAGAAGGTCAAATCTCTGCCATTTATCTTGGAATGTGTCTGAAGACATTCTATTACTTCTGTTAACTCTACACACTTCTGTGTTTGGATCTCCAGTGCAATGATAGATAATGCCAACACAGAAGGCTTTGCTTTAGAAAATATGATCCTGCAGTGGCATGCCTTAAGTTGAGCTTCTAGTCTTTCAAAATTAAGGCTATTCCTCCTTTTAATTGGTAAGTTTTCTTGAATGAGTGAATAGTAGAGTTGCAGAAATTGAAAGGCAGTAGTAGCTTTGACTTTCCAACACACCTTCTCCAATACAATCTTTTCCATTCTCATCAAGTCTGAAACCTTGAATCTATATTGGTTTATTTGGATCAAGTCAGTTGTCAATTGGACATTCCGTTCCTCTTCTATTGATTTAACAGCCAAATAGAAGCAGCTCAGCCCAACACACCCTAGGTGTTTGGGCTGTACCTTCATTTTGGACAGGAGTCTGTCCAGTAAATTCGCAGCAAGAGAAAATGTCTCCGTGTCGAAGCCAAAGAACTGAGTTAAACTAAGATCTTTTAGTTCAAAGTCCCTTAGCTTTGCAGTCATTCTGAGGCCATTATCATGTGTAGATTCAATTAGTCTCAAGCCGCAGACCTTTGGCTGACATCTCAGCTCCTGTTCCAACAGGGCATTCAGCTGGTATAGCAGTTTCTGAGAGTCAGTTGTTGTCAGCACCTCTATCATCTTGACCGCAACTGCGGCTCTTCAATGGTAACCACCCTCTCTGGGCCTGCTTTCACCTCACCCCATGATATCAGATCTAATAGGCCCACAAGGCGAGGGGACTCACGGGTAAGAGGGGAGAGGCCCAGGGAGGGGGAGCCGTCCTGGGTGGACGTCTCCACAGAGCCGCCCTGAGGACACTGCCCACCACAGGATCAGCTTGGAGTGGAAGGGCAATTTTTTATTTATTTAGACTCAATTAACCAACATATAGTACAACATTAGTTTTTGATGTAGTGTTCATTAGTTGCATATAATGAGAAATAATAATTAAAAATATATGCCTATAAATTAAACAATGTAAGGGAAATGGATAAATATCTAGAAACATATAATCTTCCAAAACTGAATCAGAAAAAAAAAAACAGAAAATCTGAACAGACCAAATATTAGTAATGGAATTGAATCCACAATTAAACAAAAAAAAAAAAAAAAAAAAGGAAGAAAGAAAATCCTCCCAACAAACAGAAGTCAAGGACCAGATGACTTCACAGGTGAACTCTACCAAACACTTAAAGAAGATTAACACCTATTCTTCTCAAACTATTCCAAAAGTTTGAAGAGTAAGATACACCTCCAAATTCATTCTGTAAATCCAGCACGTTTATACCAAAACCAGACAAAGACACTGCAAAAAAAAAACAACAAAACAAAAAAAAAAACTAGAGGCTGATATCTCTGATGAACATAGATACAAAAATCTGCAGTAAAATACTAACAAACTAAATTCAACAGTGCATTAACAGAATCATTCCCCATAATCAAGTGGAATTTATTCCTGGTCTTCAAATGTGGTTAGATATTCACAAATCAGTCAACGTGATACACCACATTAATGAAAGAAATGATCAGAACCATATGATCCTCTCAATAGATGCAGAAAAAGCATTTGACAAAATTCAACATCAGTTCATGATAGAAACTCTCAGCAACTTGGTTTAGAGGGAACATACTTGAACATAAGAAAAAACGTATACTAAAAACCCACAGCTAACATTAACCTCAATGGTGAAAACCTGAAACCCTTTCCTCTAGATCAAGAAAAACATAAGAATGTCCACTCTTACCACTTTTATTCAACATAATAGTGGAAGTCCTAGCTGCAGCAATCAGACAAGAATAATAAATAAAAGCCATCCAAATTGTTAAGGAAGAAGTAAAATTGTCACTATTTGCAAATTACATGATACTATGTAAACAAGAGGTATAAAGAATATATAAGAGAGAGAGAGAGAGAGACTTCACCAAAATATGATTAGAACTAATAAGTATATTTAGTAAAGTTGCAGGATACAAAATTAATATACAGAAATGTTTTGTGTTTAAATACACTAATAGCAATGTAGCAGAAAGAGAAATTAAGAAAACAATCCCATTTATAATTGCACCAAAAAAAAAAAAAAAAAAACTAGGAATAAATTTAACGAAGGAGGTGAAAGATTAGTGTTTTAAAAATCATACAGAATTGATGAAAGAAATAGACGATGCAAAGTTTGGATGGAAAGGTGTTCAATGCTCAGTGATTTCAGAATTAATATTATTAAAATGCTCAGAAAAAATAAAATGTTCCTACTGCCCATAGCTATCTACAGATTCAAAGCAATCTCTATCATAATACCAATATTTTCACTGAACTAGAAGAAATAATCCTAAAATTTATATGGAACCACAAAACATTCTGAGTAGCCAAAGCAATCTTGAGAAAGGACAGAGATAAAGGTGTCACAAACCCACATTTCAAGGTAGATCAAGATGCCTTTTAAATAGCAACTGGCTCTCCTAATTGTGGAATTCAGATATGTATTTCCTTTGAGGTTCATAGAATTCTCTAAAAAGTAGGTTTCTACAGGGGTGCCTATGTGGTTCAGTCAGTTAAACGTCCAACTCTTGATTTCAGCTTAGGTCATGATCTCAGCATCATGAGATCAAGCCCTGTGTCAGGCTCCACACTCAGTGGGGAGTCTGCTTGAGATTTTCTCTCTCCCTCTCCCCCTGAACCTCCTCCACTCTCTCTCTCTCTCTAAAATAAAAATTAAATAAATCTTTAAAAAAGTAGGTTTCTAGAGAAACAAACAACTTCTCTCTCTTATATGCTATTTTGAGGCTTTCTGTTTCATTTGGTTTCCAGATGGGGTAAAATTAAGATCAACAATACAGGGCAAACAATTGACTGACAATAAATGCCAATGCAGAATAAGATGTACAAACAGAATTAGATGAAGAAATTAAAAATATTTATTTTTCAAATAAAATTTCAGACTAGTTTTTCATATATGTACACATATCATGATCAACTGCCAATAGTTTTCCTTCATGGAAGGAAAGAACAAATTCATTATTATTGTTTCCACTTACACTTGTGTATTATGAAACCCTAGAATGTTTTATGTTTGGTTATTATTTTCAAAATTTCAAATAAAACTTTTAAATAGAAAATTATTTATATAAGGCAAAATTGAAGCAGTTTTTGAGATATAGATACTGTTAGTCATTCCTAGGCATAAATGCCATTTATGATATGGCCAGACCTAACAAAATAATTAAATCATCAGGGAAAATAGACACCAATTCTGTTTCTTTTTAAAGAATTGTTTAAATATCATTCTAAATGGTAAGCTCTAATCTTTGCAAACAATTTTCTCATTATCTTCTTGGGCAGATTTCCTTCAGGCCAGTCTAAAAAGAAAGTCTATCTTATTTATCAAAAAAACAGTGTTCTGTTCATCCAAATTTTCAGTTCCTGTAGTCTTCTGGAATATTATCAAAACCATGCCAATTTTCTTTTCAATAATAGTGATTGTATTATTTTTGTAACTTCTTGCACATATAATATTTTATTTTAATTTTAAAAATTAATTTCTAACAAAAATGGGCAAAATACTTGAACAGACACTTCACCTAAAAAGATATACAGATAGAAAGTAAACAAATGAAAATATGTTCATCATTAGTCACTAGTGAAATTAAATAAAAACAATAATAAGATACCATTAAACACCTATTGAAATGGCTAATGTAAAAACAAAAAATGACAACATAGTTATAATACCAAGTGTTTATCAGGAAGAAAGGGAAGTTGAATGTTCATGCATTAGAAGTTTACAGAAAAATGGTAAAATCATTATGTAAAACAGTTTGGCAGTTTGTTTTAAATTTAAACATATTTACCATGTGATCCAGCAATCCCCTTTTTCTTATATCTGCCCAATAAAAATAAAACTCATTTTTAGTCAAACACCCATACAAAAATGTCTATAAAGCTTTATTTACAATAGCTCCAGGATGAAAGCAACCCAGTTATCTTCTATAGGTGAATAGTTAAAATGCGACATATCCATATCATGAAATAATACTCTGTAATAAAAAATAATGGACTCAAGTAGGAGGCAAGATGGTGGAAGAGTAGGGGACCTCGTTTCATTTGGTACCTTGAATTTAGCTAGATAACTATCAAATCTTTCTGAACACCCATGAATTCAACCTGAGATGTAAGAAAAGAATATCTGGAACTCTACAAGTAGAAAACTGGCCATTTTTTGCAAGGAAGGAGGTGCAGAGAAATGAATCTGAGGTGATATATGGGAAGATAAGTGGTGGGAGTAGGGACCCTCAGTAAGCTGGCTACCAGAAAGTGATATAGCCCTGGAGGGCAAAATTGGAACCCTTAGAAATCTGCTCCAGGGAAACACAACCCTGCCTGAAAGGAGCTCAGGTGGTGAAAAGGGGCAAATTTCTAGGTGGGACAGTGTGGTCTCAGGATCCCCAGAGTCACAGAAATATTGGGGGTGCCTGAGTCAGTAGAGTTCCCAAGCATTGGAGAGGGGAAACTGGTTAAAGTCAGGGAGCCCTGGAGGGGGCTTTCAGCTTGGTTCACCATAAACCATGAGGCATGGTTCCATTGGGTGACCATTCTTCACATGGAAACAGTGCAAAGGACAGGAATTTGGGGCCCCTCTGCCTTCCCCTGTGAGGGGAAAAGTGGGTGTGTGCACGACCTGGCATCAGCTCTCAGGTCAGGGGCCCTGTAAAGTACAGTAGCAGGTAACCCCCTGCCTTCCCCAGGGGGGGGTTGTGTAATTGGGGACTGCAGGAGTCTGCAGAGTTTGACACACACCAAATTGAAGACAGTTTATTCCTGACGGTTTACTGAAGAGAGGGGACCGTGCTCTTTCCAGCTCTGGGGCTGGGATTAGGGAATGGCCATTTTTATTTTGATCCTCTTAAAAGGTGCGTTGTTGGGTTTGGCCAGTAAACCCTGAGGCAGTGAATGAAGAGATGACTCCAGATACCTAAGTAGGAGAAAGGAGAAGGTGTGGAGACCAGACACTCTAGTGGCATAAGATCCCGAGCCAAACTCCGCCTCCACTTTTATCGTGAATGTTATCAATGTAACAAGGGAATCAGAAAAACAAAAAGGAGTGAGAAGCCTTAATAATCAGGACAGAGACATAGAGAGTATCCTGTGATTAGAACAAGCTATGTTCAGGCAGGGAGTACCTGGGGTGCATTACCACCAAAGATAAATGTTTTTCCTGAGCATTTACTCCCTGGATGAATGTATTGAACGGCAACAAGGATCCGTCTGTTTTCAGCCCAGAAACTTCAAAGGAGGCCCAATTTTGAGGACACTACTTCTTTGCTTTTCAACTAGTCTCATCCAGGGAGACATTAAATCTTATCTAGCCAGGCATTATGAATCCCCACAGTGCATAAAACCTCAGGAAACAAAAGCTATAAAGAGGGCCAGCTTATACTGAGCCCAGGCCCCTAGCAAGGGGCAGTGCAACTCTGCCCAAGCAAAGACATCTGAGAAGCAGCACAGCAGGCCCCTCCCCCAGAAGACCAACTGGAAGAACAGGGGCACAGCAAATTTACATACCACACAAGACTGTAAAACTCCAGTGCTAGAGGAAAATAGTATATAGAATTTGAAGTTATTTCTCATGATTGTTTATTCTTCAGTT